CTGCGCTTTAACCGATTTGTGGTGGTAGGCATTCAAATTGTTCATTTATTTTAGTCGACAGTGATGATGAACCCTTCAATTCGGTGGGAATTCTCGGTATATGTGTCTTATTCATCTTGGTTCTTGTCGGCATGCACTCAACGCTGAAGTGGAAAATGAACCAACGGAACAGAGTTGTCCCCATGGGCGATAACGTCGAGGATGGTGCTGTTGAGACGCCGACCGAGGAGCACGAACTTGATACCCGAACATACAACCTAAACACGGGCGCAATCATTCCAACAGCGAAAGGGCGCTCGACTACCGCATCGACAGACGAGAATCAAAATACTTCACCGTGTGGCAAAGAATTGACGAAAAGAGTAAATCCAGCCCTGTATATTAAAAGGAAAGGATTTCCTCCCTTGAAAAGAATGGATACGACATGGATATGTCAAACAGGGGTTCCTCCAGTGACACCCCCGCCGGGAATGATATGTTCAGATGATGAGAGTAATGCGGTGAACAAATAGAAAATCAAACACAAGTCTACCGCCCATTACCTGAGTGAAGAATCCGCACTCACTTACGTGACGTCATTATCGGAATTGTAGCGTAATAGTTTTCCAAAAGAAACAAACAGTTTGAGTTCTGTACCAACGCCAGACAGCAATGTCTTTTCTGAGTCGACGCATACCCGATCGCGAATCGAAATAAACAGCGCCATTTGTAGGTAGAAAATACGTTAGTGTCGATAAAGAGCATTGTCCCGTTTCACGGAATTATATTTTCAATGCCCGTTGGTTCGGGTGAAGGCTGAATCACTCTCGAGATTTATATCTGTTTTCAAACACGCATGTTTTTTTTTATCGTGTACGTGAATTGCAATGTCAGTACACTTACGGAAATTCCGGACATAAGCATATATTTTTCATGTTGCCATTTGTTTGTTTTTGGAGAATTTGTATACAATAACGTGTATATTAATTTACCAGAACAATAAAGACACCACTGCCGTAGGATAAATATTGTTTTCTGTTTTACGTACCTTGCTGGGATATTCATTATCGGGGGGGGGGGGTCTCAGCTGGGAAGGAGGCTGCCGTATTTTACTCATTATTTCAGAATTATAGAACATATCCACTCCAATGAAACAAAAGCTAGCGGGTTTGTGAAAGAAACAATACGTTCTATGGATAACCTTGCATACTCACTGAGTTTTGGTATAATTTAGTATAGTTATCAAGGGAATATTTATTTAAGACGCTGTCCCCAATCAGATCACATGGGTCCATTACGCGTTTCCCAAATAATATAGGCATACTCAATAAATTTTCCATTGAATCAACCACCTGTGGAGGAAGTGTAGTTTATTTTCTCGTCAGTAAGTCCACGGACCCTCAAAACCACGTTTACTAGTAACAGTGTCAAAACAGGCCAGTCTTTGGAGACTTTTTCCCTCCGTTGACAAACCCAATATATGTTGCCATTGTCGGTAGAGGGCGTAGGTTAACACCAGTGCTGGCGCTAGATAACGCCGCCATTGATATAAAGAATTGAAAACAACACCAGCAATTGCAGTCACTTAGTACATTGTTTACATCTCAGAAATCAAAATCAAAGGTAATACATGGGCAACATTTGTAAATAAATTACAGGGGATAACTAAAACTGGTGATGCTGATGACAATACTCTGCTTATGAGTCAAAATTAAAAGAAATCTATGTTGAAAAAGTTAGGCTACCAACAGTCCAGACAACCCAAAACAATAAATTACGTACATACACTCAGTTCAAACCTACATATAAATTTGAACCATATTTGAATCAAGTAAAAAATGCACAACATAGAACCAGCTTCACCAAATTTAGGATATCTGCACATACCCTACCAATTGAAAAACTTAGATATCAAGGGATACCTCCAGAGGAAAGAAAGTGCCAACTTTGTAACAATGGGGCTATTGGCAATGAAATCCTTGCACTTTTAGACTGTAAACATACTGGAATAACAAATGCTCGTACTGAATTTCTGAATGTAGTTAGCATTTATAATGAAAGTATCCTTAAACTATCAAAACAACACATGTTTACAGAAATGTTAAGTTCGAGAGATGGGTTCATTGCCAATAGTGCTAGCAAATTTATTGACAGCATGTTATTTTACTATAAGTAATTTTACTTAGACTTTAGTTATTTATGTATTTTCTTTTGTCTCGTGTGTGTACTTGTGTTTTATTACTAGTATATTTAATGTCTTTTGACCACAGATAATGTAACAAAATATATTATTTAGTGTCAAATAAAATATACTATACTATACTATTATCAAGAACACGTACACTGGAAGTTTATTTTTAAATGCTGATTTATTTACATTGGCGGATTTAGATGGGGGCCGAATGGGCCGCGGTCCCCCTATTTTTAACAACCAACAGGGCTTCGCGCCATCGGCGCTCGCGAACTTGGCCTTAGGCCAACTTATCAGCCCCGCCCCTGTAGGTAAACTGTCCTGATAGGTTAAAGGCCAAATTAACTGTTGTTACACTCTATAAAAATGGCATTCATCTGCTGAGGCATTACAAATTATAATGTACGAATACATTAGGTTTAACAAGACCACACTTTTAACCTAAACAAGACATAAATGTCACAGTCCCCGTCATTTAATTATAAAATACTCTTGTTAAAATAATACATAGAACATCTGCAAACAATTGAATTAATATGTACTCTATGTGGGTACTACTCATCATAAAGTGATTTCCCTTAATCTAGTATTGTACTGAAAACTTCCATTGACCCATGTCCAAAATCTCAGAGTATACACAATTGCAACCAAACTATGTCTCATACATGCTCAAGAAACTGCCTTCATAAATCCAAGTAAACCTTGATATACCTTTAATAACAACTTGACTTTGTTAATTCAGGTCTTTGTATATTACCGGGACCTGGGTGTGTTTCAATATCACCACTATAATTCCCATTAAAATGTAGCTTTGACACCCCTCTGCGGTTTTCACCAAGATCCGTAATGATATGACCCATTTATTCACTAGGACTGACACCTGAAGCTATATTTAGACATGTGTCACGTGCCTGGCCAATATTTATAAACAGTAACTGCAAAGTTAAAACCCTAGCATTACAATCCATTACCTCCCTGTACAATCTAAGCTAATTAAAGGGAACCTCAATCCAAAGAACATAATGACCCCTAAAGAAAAAGCTCCACAAATGTAGGAGAATGCAATTTACACTTTTTTATATCAGTTTTCATTCTCTAGATATTCAACCTTTCATCGTTATTATGTAGT